GAATCCAACTCCGCTGCCTGTTGTGAGCGCTAGACTACGAGATGCCGTTTGCTGATTTTCGGTGGCAGTTTGAAAATCGTCATAAAGCCTATTTCCACTAGGCGAATTTTATTCGCGCGAATCGTCGCATCGGTACGCTTCCTGAGCTCTGATTGGTTGCGCATCTTTTCTCTTCGCAAAAGTAGAAACAGTTCGAACCACAAATTTCGCTAAAGCGAAAAACTCCGATAGAAATGTAAATGCGCATGCGTGCTAACCGACGCTTTTGATTCGCGCGAATAAATTCGCCTGGTGGAGCCTTATGCCTAGTTCAGACGAGGTGGATAAACCCAGCTCAACTCACCGGGTTTATCCACCTGCCAGTCTGAACTAGGTGGCTTATCTCAAGCCGGGCTGTGTTCCTATAGTAACTAGGCCTGGCGCGCCACCGTGTTTAACTTTTCTATGCCGGGCTTTAATCGTTGCGGGGGGTCTTGCATTGACTTCGGGTGACGAAATGACCAATCAGCATTCAATTACGGCTACGTTCAGACTTGGAGATAAGTCAGACTTGAGTTAAGTCCGGCTCAACGTTAAGCCCGGCTTAACTTTGCCGGGCGTTCAGACTAGCGGGTTTAGCCAGGCGAGAATTTGCTAGAAAGGCGAGAAAGTATAAACCGTAACCATGAAACGTGTTTCAAAACATTGCTCGCGAAACGTACGCTCACTCACAGCGTACCGTACGTAATGGAATGCTGATTGGTCATTTCAGAACTTGAATGATTTAGTGGAAAGCATATATCAGCGTTCTCCGGACACCAATGTAATTTTGTCAAGCGTTTGCCTCAGAACCGACGATAAATTCCATCAAACAAGAGTGAACAAAATGAATTCTTTTATTCGTAATTTAGCCACTTCTAAAGGATGTCTCCTGGTAGATCACGACAAGGAGTTTTATGATTGCCGGGGCTGCTAACGCTTCCCTGTTAAATGCAGGCGGGCTCCACCTTAATAGAGATAGCACGCGACAACTCTTGATGAACGTCATCAATGCAGTGCACAAGGTTTTAAACCAAAAGATCATACAAAAAGGAGAAGCATCAAAAGGCACACAGCACAAGCACAAGTCCCATCTTCAATTAAACGAAACCCGCAACCGCGTACCTTTGATAGATGGCAACGGCAATTCCAGTCTGAACCTCTGCACTCGCGCTGTCATACATGTGGACTTCAAAATCACCTTACTAAAGACTGCTTCCACAGTAACCCTGTGAGATGTAACGGGTGCCATGAATATGGACATAAAGCTTATAATGGCTCCCGACCATTTTTGTGCCGAATGCCGTCACAAGAGCAGTTCAGCCATCAAGAATGGAGCCAAAACACTAGCCAAAACGTGCGTTCTAGATAGGATTCAGCCAAAATGTAAACCTAAGCAATGCAGAAGATTTTGGGTTTGTTGAAAATGTTAATGTAAATTCTAATAATTTTTATGACCATACTACTACCTGTTTTGTAAACTCATCAACAACCAAGATACAAAATCCTACTGTAATCAGAAAGTCTAGACGACATAGACGGGGGCATGGTAATAGAGGTAAAAAACATAAGGCTAATGACCAAAATTCCTTACTTAACATTGCATTTAATAATGTTAATAGGCTGCGCCCTAAATTGCAAGAAATATCAAAATTCTTAAATGATTGTAAAATACATGTTTTTGGGGTTGCTGAATCATTTCTGAGGGAAAATGATATAACTGATATCAGCGGTTTCCGTTGGATTGGTAAAAACAGGAAAAACAAGGGGGTGGGGGCGTGGGGGTATTGGCGCACTTATTTTAAATTCTGTTGTTATTCTTGATGATGATATTTTTTATTCAATGTCTGATCTGTATGAACGATTGTGGTTTAAAATTCGTCTCGATGATAAAAATGTATTGTTTATTGCTATTGCATATTTCCCAGTCGAGGGTTCTGATAGCGATCTGACAGATTATGCAATCAACTTCTTTTTGAAATTTTTGCGCATCCAAACTGAACACGAAGATCCCCAAATTTTAATTATGTCAGATATGAATGCCAGAATTGGAGGGGAAATATGTAATGGTAATCCTGTCCTTAACTCCAATGGAGAACGTTTATTAGATTTTCGGGACAATTCAAACTTAAACATTTTGAATTGTAGCAATCTATGTATTGGAAAATTTACTTGGTTTAGATGTAATTCACAGAGTACCATCGATTACATGTTATGCACTGACAATATGCTCAGTTGTGTTAAAGAATATATTGCTGATGATGATAGGATTATGGGACTTGAAAGTGACCACAATGTCCTCCTCCTTAAACTGTGTATTAATCACAATGCCATTACTAGTAAGAATTTTCGTCATTCCAGTAAAATGCACTGGAATATAAAGAAGAATCAAGATTTTACTATTTTCATGAGAAAATACGTACAATGTTTAGTGAATGGGATGCAAATTCTTTTGATGATGTTTAATTGCCTATGGGATTCATGGAAAAACAATCTTATTGCAGCGGCAACAGAGGGTATTGGCTTAAAAACAATTAATAACAACCGTAAACATAACGGTTGGTTTGATAAGAGCATAAATGAGGCAATCCAAGATAGGAGGAAGGCAGCACTCCTTTATCGTAAATGGGCCAAGGGTCATGACTCTAAAAATAATGGGGATAATTTATGGAAATCATACCAAGATAAGCGAGCACAGGATAAGAAACTTGTTAAAGCCAAAATTACTGAAAAATGCATGTAAATAAATCTATTGAATTAGCAAATAAAGGGGGCCGAAATTGTCGCGATTTTTGGAATGTCCTAAAAGGTAGTAATAGCAATAAATATGTCTGCTGCTTGAAGGCACCAGGTTCCAACAATATAACCTCTGATAGAAAGGAAATTAATAAAAAAGCTCTTGATCATTGGAAAACTCTTGGTCAAATTAATATAAATACTCCTGGTAAAACCGATGAACATACTAATAAAAATTAAAACTACTATTACTTCTATTAGAGCCACGTATAATGACTTTCATGTTAACCATGGATGTCTTTCTGATATTGAAATTAATTTTGATATTGTTAGCTATTCTACAAACTAAAATTAATAAGTCACCTAGTATAGATATGATTTCAAATGAAAGTTTGAAAAATGGTGGAAACTGCTTGACCATGTCAATTCTCTCATTATTTAAAAGAATAATTGCTCTTGAAAAAAATCCCTAATGATTTGAACAAAGGTATTATTGTTCCAATATTTAAAAAGGGTGACCGCAGGGATCTGAATAATTACAGAGGGATTTCTCTTACTCCATGTATTTCTAAAATATTTAGTCGAATCATCTCAAACAGTATTTCTAATTTTTCTCAAAGAAAAAAATGTTTTATCAGAGGTCCAAGGTGGGTTTAGGCCATCACGTAGATGTGAGGACCATATATTCACCCTCAAAAGCATAGCTTCGTATCGTCTCATTGAGCGAAAAAAAAAACCTTCTTAGCCTTCTTGGATCTTAAGAAGGCCTTTGATACGGTTTGGAGGGAGGGAATGTTAATGGCTGCATGGGATATTGGAATTAGGGGTCGCTTATGGAAGATTATTGACAGTTTTTACTGTGATGTACAAGGAAAAGTTAGATTTGGGTATATTGAGACTGACAATTTTGATATTAATGAGGGAGTCAAGCAGGGTTGGGTTTTATCTCCAATTTTGTTTTGTATTTTCATGAATGAATTCACCATTTTGCTTAAAAAACATTATTTAGGTGTTCGTATATACAATGTATGCTTGGGAAGCCTTTTCTGGGCAGATGATGTTGTGTTATTGGCAAATGACGAAAATGAACTGAATGAGATGCTTAATTTAGCTTCTACATTTGCGAAGACATGCAAGCTAAATTTTAATCACGAAAAAACAAAAATTCTTATTGTTGAGCAGCGTATTGACAATAATAGGCAGTGGAAGTTGGGTGAAAACTATATTTCAGGGGTTGAATCATATAAATACCTTGGTACCCATATCTCAAGAAGCATTTCAGACCATTTTCATATTGACCAAACTATCATTAATGGAAATAAAATCATCGCCTACATTAAATCAATTATAGATCGTTTGATAATTTTAATAGAGTTTATTATGGCAACATACTTTGGAAAACCATTGCTCTTCCAAGTATTAACTATGCTTGTTCCGTGTGGATTAGCAAAAGCCAAAAGGACATTGACAAAATTGAGTCTCTCCAACTTCAAATGGCGCGATATATCCTTAAACCATCCAGAAACACACCAAAAGAAGCTTTATATGGGGACCTAGGTTGGGTGCCAGTAAAAGTAAATCAAGGCATACTTAGTGCTAAATACATTAATCATGTAATGAATTTAGATAAGCAGAGATGGCCAAACTTTATGCTTAATACATCCCTTAATCTAAATTGTTTTGCTGAGCCACGCTATAAACTGCTCTCTAGTTTCATTAAGACTTGTACTGATATAAGGTTGGAAATTGGTTCAATCTTTGAAAATTCATGCCTTAGAGTTGCATCCAATATGTGTTGGGTTAACGATTTCAAAGAGTTAATTCTTAATTCATATGTTTCAAAATTCAAAATGAGGTCAAATACTCTTCCATTAGGACATAGGACCTGTAAATGGGTACCCAATAGTGATGGCACTTGCCAATTGTGTAATAATGGTGTTGAAGATATAAAACATTTTTTATTCACATGTAATCAACTAAACACCATTAGAATTAAAGAATATCATGTTTTAGAAAATAAGCTAGTTCTGATTGCCTAAATGTATGGGAGTATTTTATCACCAGTGACCTTTGTACTAAATTGAGTATTGTTCTTGGGGTAAAGGTGCATTGTGACTATATTTCTGATGTTCATGATATTTTTGATAAATTTTGCAAATCTTATGTTAAGAGAGCATGGAAGCTTAGGAATGATTTATTCAGCTCTTAAGGTGCTAGTTGTTTAGGGACTGTCTACCTATTTCAGTTCACAAGAGTTCAAAATATTCTGAAGTGGGATGAGAGGAAGGGTTTGCTCTGTTGCGGACGATGGTTTCCGGGTGACAAAATCATTACTCTAGGGAGGGGAAAGAAGATCTTGTGTAAGAGTATGTTTTGTGTTCTTGTGACGGTTATAAAGACAATGCATGGCTCCTACTGTAAGGTACTGTGTTTCATTGTTGTTAGCTGTTTTGAAACTTTTTAACACTTTGTACAGCTGTAGTGACAGGTCTCTCTTTTGTAGTAGTTGTGCGGGACTGCGTTCTTGGTTGTAACAGCCCTGTTGCGATCAGGTTGTTGGCTAGTGGGTGTCTCTGGTGGGCGTTCCGTTTTCCGTACTACTGCAGGAGAGAGACGTGTCATCTAGAGACTGATGTTTATCTTGTCATAGAGAAAATAGAAATATTTTCTCTTTTAGTTTTTGCTAATTTGATTATCTTGTTGTTTTGATTTCTTTCTTTTTGATTGTAATTTTTATATTTTTTCTTGTTGTTAGGATGCACCACCCCTGTGGTTTAGTGCCACTGATTCAAAAGTGAATATCCAAATAAATTATTATTATTATTATTATTATTATTATTATTATTATTATTATTATTATTATTATTATTATTATTATTATTATTATTATTATTATTATTATTATTGTTATTATTACTATTACTATTATTATTATTATTGTTATTATTATTATTGTTATAATTATTATTATTATTATTATGCAAATTCCCGCCTGGCTAAACCCGCTAGTCTGAACGCCCGGCAAAGTTAAGCCGGGCTTAACGTTGAGCCGGGCTTAACTCAAGCCTGGCTTATCTCCAAGTCTGAACGTAGCCATAAGCTTGTTTTCCATTTGCGAATTTATTCGCGCGAGTCGAAGTTCATGAGCATGCGCATTTACATTTCTATCCGAGTTTTCGTTTCAGCGAAATCGGTAGTTCGAACTGTTTCTACTTTCAAGACATAGAGTTTATTACGGTCCAAAAATGCTAAAAACTATTTCATGCTCATTATTTTCCACAGCTCTTTATTGCCTGATTTCAGAGAAATGTGTGTGGGCCTATAACGATGTGTAATTGTCAAGGTTACTGATTAGAATAATGACTTTAGAATATTTTTTTCATGGAACTCTATCAACCCGACACTATCGAATAAGTACGTTACGGTGTCATGTTAATTTACGTGTAACACATAACGAATGTGATCCATTGATTTGGCATTCGTGAAACGTAAGACAATATCAATGTGGATGCCGGGTATAATACTGTAGTCCCCTTGGTATATCAATGTGTGTTGGCTTTGCAGCACACGTATGTGCTAGTACTTATGTATTAGCACATTGGATAATATCTGTCAATGTTAATTAGGTCTTCATAATAGAAACAGATCGACAATGGCGTAAAGACAAAACATAGGCCTATTCGTCTACACTATCCTCACTCAAAAGTCGATAATAATCTAGCGCCCTCACTCAGGTTTAATAAGTAGGCTTAACTTTACTTGGATGACAGCGACTCCAGAGAGACTGTTCCCACCATCTTTATCATTACCATTATCATCATTTATCACCATTACGACCATCAACACTACCAGTATGATGATGATTATTATCATCACCATTTTGATCATCATCATCATCATCATCATCATCATCATCATCAACAACAACAACAACAACAATATCATTATCATTATCATATCATTATATCATTACATTATCATTATCACTATCTTTATCGTAATATTATCGTTACCATTGTATTCTTTGTTGATCTAACCATAAAAGTAAGACTAATTTTTTATCTTTTACATTTATTATTTATACTTGTATTCCATAAAATAGTGAACAGCTTAGCTCAGTCGGCTAAACTGGTGGTAGCCACTGTACTATGTGTGCGCTGAACCGTGGAGAACCGGTTCAATTCCCATCGCTGCTCTCCTTGTGTTTGGAGGGCTTGAATGCAAGTTATGATAGCGCACCGTCTTTCGGATAAGACGTACAAGACGTTGGTCCCGTGTGCATTATGGCCATGTGCACGTTAAGAACGTAGTACACTCTTCGGAAAAGAGTAGGGGATTTGTCTCCCTGTGTACTGCCCAGTCACCACCAGAAGAACCCCGCTGGAAATAAGTCTTCTTCAGATTTTCGTGGGTTATCCTTGGTGTTTACACAGAATATATCCAATCCAATTCAGATTAATAACCTAATATCAATTATTTATAACAATGACAATGATACTATTGCTATTTCGATGTGAGTTTGCGTCAGGGAAATATCATGAGTGATGTTTTACCCTACCAACTATTGCTATTAATGAAATTACCATGTATAGTATATCATTAATTAGGCCTACATTTAATTATTATCAATTCACTGCGGTTTTCTGTAAACATGTCTTTGTTTATTAGTGATTCATAAAGTAAACAGATTCATCATGCGCATAATAATCTCATGATACCCTGTCGTATGCATGTCGTACATCTTACCAACGACGGAAATTTGCTGAAATGGAAAACTAAGCAAACACACATTTGAGTGACTGACTACACACCATTCACGACGACTAACAAACGCTAAGCTCTGTGCCAATTGTCAAATTTCCTTTAACAAAAAGCTGTTGTATGCCCATATATAGTCATGATGTGCCTATATATGGTGATAATGTGATGTCATCATGACCATATTTAGGCATGTCGTCGCAGTTTTTGTCAAATAAACTTATAGTCATGGACAGGGCTTTAGGCTGTCATTTTCTTTACCAAGACATCCAGAGGTGACGGAACTACTGTTGCTGCTGCTGCTGTTGTTGTTGTTATTGTTATTGTTGCTGTTGTCGTTGTTGTTCTTATGATGATGTTGTTAATGATGATATAATGATGATGATAAAGATAATGATGATAACAATAGTTTATAATTTCAATTGCAATTGTAAGCTTAATAATATTAAGAATGATTTTGTGAAATTAGCTACAATATTTTGAGTTAGGCCTATTCCGATAATGTTTTGATGGAATGATACCTTAAATGATATTTGAGTGTAACGTCAAATAGGATGTAATAAAATATTCAGGAATACTCAAACATAAGCCGGATGTTTAGTTGCGTCAGACTAACTCGTCAGTGTGTGTGTATACTACTACTACTAACTAAATCCTTTCCGAGCCACTAGGGCTCATATGGCTGGAGCTTATCCCCAGTTTCTGTAGTGTGAAGCGGATGAGAGTTGTCCCCCTGGACGGGACACCAGTCCATCGCAGGTTAATCCCCAGCAGTTTGCTGGTACCCATTGATACAGCTGGGTGGACTGAAACAATGTAGCTAAAGTGCCTTGCCCAAGGACACCAGCGAATCTGCACAGCGGAGACTCGAAACCCCGACCTTACGATTGAAAGCCCAAACCTTAACCGCTGCGCCAAACTGCGTCAGTGTGTATACCTTGATGTATTTCCTTTCATTTCTCTCTTTATTTCGGAATTCATATCCATATCATATATATAAATATACATAAATACAGGACTCTATCAGGCTGCACG